GGATACATTTAACTTGTCTGTAAGTCCAAGAAATTGTGTCAACTAACTTTCGATCCAGATGCTTACGTGAAAGCGTTATCTAGAGACATACCTAACCTTTCTCTATCTGTTTCTCCCGAAATTCGTCACATGTTTTTGAAACTTTGACAGTCGCTTCCGGTCAAAATCATGAATTCAATGCTGAAATCATCTAACTGCATTCTACTCTAGCGTGATGATAGTACCCACGGAAGTTAATATTAGCGGCATCACTGGAAATTCTTTGCCCCTAGTTTGTAGTTGCATGCTTCCTATGGAATTGTCCCAAAATACATCTATCGATCGTAATTTTTTGGTTTCAACCTCAGGACCATGTACTATCGGAATCGAAGTTCTGCGCTCACTGCGAACTATTATCACATTACTGACTTCTGTGGCTGAAAATGCACTCAACCAACCGATGCAACAATGGTATGAGGTTACAGTTGGCACGCAGATATCCGCGCTGAAAGTCGAAGTTACAGAAGGTCCTATATTTCCTAACAGCCGAATTACTCTATGTGGCTTAGGGAACCTGTTTTCTGCGCACTAAATTCAGTATGTACAAAAGGCACACCAACTACATTCGAATCACCGAATCAGACAACTCCGATAGTTACCTCACTAAAGGCTAGGTATTACTCCGAGAATGTGTGGAGACTACCGGCTAACGGGGTCACTACAGATAGGCGGGCACACAACGTACATGCATTAGAGAAAATCCAAAAAATGTGCCGTAACGTTTATCAGATTCAGGCATGTTTCCAAAAATCTATTTTAAAAGATGCCTATCTTCGAATACCACTTGATAAGACCTCCAGTAATCTTACCGTGATTAACACACCTACCATGTTATTCCAATGCAATTTTCTTTACTTTGGTCTAAATGTTTCACCAGCCGTATTTCAACAAGTGATGAATACTACTACAAAAGTTTTAATGGCTGTTGAGACGTACCAAGACGACGTCATAGTACACGTTTCTGGCAAAGCTACCCATGATACGTTTCCTTTGTCTTAACTAAAGCGATTTTCTGGGTTCCGTGTAGATATTCACCCTGATAAATGTACTTCCGGTGTCCCATCTTTTCGTGCTTTGGCTACTTTGTGGATGGCAGCGACCTTTGACCTGATACGAACCGCGTATCTACTTTAGTAAATGTGCCATCTGCAACCAGTTTACAAGAGCCACGTTCTTCTGGGAACACTTCAGTAATATTCTCGTGTTATTCCTAAATTTGCTAAACGTGCAAGCTGCTTGATTGATGTCATACCTGCCAGTCAATTTTCTTGGTCCTCCAACCATGAAAAGACGTTGCGTGCTGTGCTTGGATATCTTCAAACTTCAGCTTTCTTGAAACCATTTTTCGCCAGAGATCACTCGATCCTCATGACCGATGCTTGTCCTACTGGAATCAAGGCAATCCTTGAACAGTGATAGACCGGTTATTTACATTTCCCATCGACTTTCAAAAGCCGAACAGAAATACTCTGACTCAACGAGAAGTACTTGCCGTATATCAGGCTGTCAAACGGCTCAATAGGTGTCTTTTGGAATCAAAATTTGCCAGTGCTACTGATCACGGGGTGTTAAAGTTTTTTATCTCTTGCAAAGTCATCTGCCGCTATGGTGCAACGGTAGATTAGAGCGCTGAGTTTGTACACCTACAGGATTGTTCATCGTAGTGCAAAAATGCTTCCTCATGCAGATTTCTTGTCAAGAATCCGGTCATGCAATTCTGATTCAAACAACTCAGGTTTTTATTGTTTCAACCATCACCAGCCAAATGGGATGCGCTTGTCACTGATACTAAAGGGTATTCCGCTCCAATTTTTCTAGGCTGCGACGTAACCGGACGTAACAAAAGCGCACCGATTTTTTGCCTTTTACTGTCACTGCGAAAGCTTGTCCACCTCTCCGGATGGTTTGTTGTGTTTTGAGGATAGGGTTGTCTTTCCACCGACTCGGCGAGAAGCTGTCCTGGCAGATTTGCTCCCTGGTAATCTTGGTATTGACAGAATGAAATATCTTGCATGTTTGTCATGTTGGTGGCTGGAACTCCATGCCTACACGAAGTGTGCTGCTGAGAAGTGGTTTAAGTTTGCGCATAAGATTCATCTCTAGTCTTCATAGTGGTATCCGGGGCCGGTTACATGTGAAACATTCCAGCGAGTGCATTACGACTACTGCGGCGCTTTTCCCGGTTGATACTTTGCTTTGTTTGTTATTGACGCATATGCACGTTGGTTTGAAGTTTTTCTAACTCCATGTGCCGAACTCACGCAGCAAGCAGTGAGGAAAGTTTTCAGCAATGAAGGTGTACCAACTGTTTTGGTCACTGACAACGGTACAGACTTCAGTGCAAAATTTCTCGAGGAATAGATAAGGGACTTGGATATCGACATTTGTTTACTGCTCCATGACAACCACAGCAGAGTGGGCTTGCTCAGAATTTCGTTCGAACACCAAAATCTGCCGTGGCTTCACTTTTTCCACTTCTTTTGTGAAACTTAACAGTGGGAGTGAAAATTTTCAAGGTAATAGAGAAACGCTTTTCATTCTGTTACTGGGAATAGTCCCGCGTTCCTACTTAAAGCTCGCTCGTTGGGTACAAATCGTGACTGTGCCGAGACCGCTGATGCTATGGTTTTCAAGCATGTTGATTTACAACCTACTATGGGAATGATACCTTCATTATATATTAAACGGGTGGCCACAGTGGATGATCTCTCTTGCCATCGGAGACAATGACCAGGTCGAGTTCAATACCATAGGTCAGTATGTTGACGGCACTCCTACTGCTTCAAATACTAATGAATCCTTTGTAGATGATCTCATGGCATCCGAACAAAACGTTATACCTAGAGAACATACTACCCGTGAAAAACCTGAAATTTCCCATCCGGGAAGATCCGAAAGATTAAGGTCGAGATTACCGTTGAACTATAAACATCCACACGCTCATCCAAGGTGTGGCGGATGCTATGAACATGATTGCAATTACATTCATTCTTCTATTCATTATTCTCTTGTTTTAATATTACAAATGCTGTACATACGCGTAACTTGAAATACATACGTGCTACTTGTTGCGCGTGCGGAATTCTGGATTTCTAGTCCGTCAGGTTTTACTGATATACGTGGAGAGCTTAATTCTCATAAGATGCATCACAAATTTTTTAATAAACGAACGTGAGGCCAATATATAGCATTGCGAATCTAAATCAGTTGCACGTCAAAATCTTGGAGGAGAGTTTAATTAAAAACGTAGCAAAATTGATATAAATTTGGGTGATTTCCAGCTCAAGCACATATGAGAAGAAATGCAATATTTTTGCGCGAAATTTCCCGTTGCATTCACAAATGTTTAGTGGAAAAAACACTTTTTGCCTCCTGGATACTGTCATAAAATCGACCGAGCCTTAGCCACACACCTAAACCTCATCTGAAATTGTATTGTGTAGGGAGGAATATTTAACATACGTTTTAGAATTTAGAGTAAATGAACAATAGCTAAATTCTTTATGTCCACGCAACCTAACAATGGCTGATTTATTCGCAGTCTGTATGGAAAAAAGTCTTTTATTGTTGTTGCGAAGCCACACTGCCCGATTTTAAAACCTCTAACCGACATTCAGGAGCGGATATTAGGTATGCGGTTGATCCGAACAGATGAGGCGCATGTGATTATGAGGGTCTGCATTGGCCAGATTGTGCGCATGGGCTTGGCAGGCGGACGACATATACCGATATGAAGAACTGCTATTGATCGCTGGATCAGCCCCTTCCGTAATGGTGGAGCGGTAGAGTCAGCTACTCGCATGGTTGAGTGCCCAGCGGCTACTATAAATAACAACGGCGAAAGACACCCAATACAGTTATGAATACGTTGGGCAGTTAGATTGGGCTATCACACATAGGTGATGCATTAATCTGTCATGCCGAAGATGCTGACCTCACGCTTACTATGGGTAGTAAAGATAGGTGATAAGGGGAACAATGATAAGTATGATGGATCGTCGTTGGTCAGTGGATTAGGTTACCGTGCATGGCGCGTATAGACGTGGGCCTAGCTGTTACGATAAGTTGTCGGGGTGAGTAGCAACTGCTACCGTTAGCATAATGAGCGGAAATCGATGCCCTAATTACCATCAATCTATGCACATTATGATGTATTCCACGTGTGCAGCGTCATATTCCCACTAGGAATGATATCATTTTGTTGGTGATTCACATGCAGTTGTCTCACGACGCCGTTTCATCCACAAGATAGCTATGCATACCGGAGAAAGGGGATCGTCCACAGAGATAATCCTCGCATCTCCGCTGCAAGTGTCATGCAGTTTTCTATCACTGTTATACCTAGTGCGGTTTCATGATTTACCTTTCATCAACCAGTACCAAAATGCTAATCCGCGATGGTCCTTGTCCTTGAGATATAGCGCACTTGCGTAAAATGCTTTAAGCAACATTACTCAAAAGTGCAATAAGACAGAACCAATTTTCTGTGAAAGTCACAACTTCGAAGACCCTATAGTTTTGGTAAAAACAATTTGGGTGTATTTTTGGTAAGTGTCAACAACGGAGGACCGATTGGCCGCACGATGCTCTTAGTTGTGAAACGTTTGCGAGTGCAACAAAAATGTCTGCGCCAAAATGGTGGACCTTGTTATCAATGTGCTCACACCAAAAATAGTCCTAATCTACGTTCATATTTCTGCAGCTTACCAAATTCCACAGTCCCCTGGAGCAATAATACGCCTAGCAGGAAAGTGTGGTGTAGTGCCTTCCCAGGTCACAGAATGTCTAGATATGATTCAAACGTTTGAACTCGTGCCTCAATTGCCTGTCTCTCTATATCCGTCAGAATCACATCATAACTTTCGAAAATTCAATTCCATTGTGCGAATAATGAGTGCCCAAAATTAGGAAAAGCGTGACTGAAATTCAGATAACGCGCTATCGAACATCGAATCTATGTTCACAAAAGCTATAAATCGCGTCCTGCTAAAACCTGCAAGTTTTCACTTAGGTTGTCATTGGGGTAGCGCAGTCTGAAGCTTTTGCACAAGATTATTGTTCTTTGAACCTTACCAATACTGCGTTTGAACTTCTTCTCAACGGAGAACGGAGAACCTGCGGGAGAACGGTTTCGTTCGCTGTTTCCGAGGCTGATCTGTGTCCGCGTTTTTCCGGCAGGACATGGGGTGTGAAAGACAGACTGCGTTAGGATTATTCTGTGTTTTGGGAGGTGTCATAATCCAGATTACATACGGAAATTTTTACACCGTTGGTAAGTTTGTCTTTGGACCTTTCAGCTTCCTATTTACATCGAACTAGGAAATATAGCGCCATACATGGTGGATTACATGAATTACAATAACATGTCGGTGAAGAGTACCTCCGTTGTGTGGCTGACGTCTGTTGCAATTTCAATGGAGGCAGTTGCGATGCCCATAGGTGGATTTTTGTCCACAAAAATAGGATTCAGACTGGTGGTCTTTTTGAGCTGTTTGATTCAAAGGTGGGTTTTCTAGAAGATTTTCCATTATTATTTCGAACGATTTTCGTTGTCACATAACCTTCTACAAGAGTGTCACGCCCTGCATCTTTTATTCCAACTCTGCTTGTTCTTGCTTAATAGATTCCTTAATTTTATTATGTTGATTATAGTTGCCGACAATGACAGGATACTTTATTGAACCATGTTCTCTTACCGACTAGTAAATGTAGCAAATTAACTGTGAGAACCTTCACATTGACCGGCTTCTACAGGACGGTTTTTCACCGTGACGCTTATTGCTAAGCCTCGTTTGACTTCATATAGTGCCGTCATGCTCGGTAATGTCTACTTTTATTGTTGCTCTACGACTGCATCGGTGACATGCATTACAATTCCTCTTCACCACTCCGTAACGTTGGTACACATAAGATACCTTTGAGACTCCGCTAATTTCAGCCCTTACGTGAATCTTCGAACGGTTTCATCAATAAGCTAATGATACATGCTGGTGCTTAACAAGCATACAACTGTGAGGGAGAAATGCCTTAGTTCTGGAATGGAAGGAGGAAAAGGTGAGAAATAAAGGCATAGGTCTTTTGTGTTTCAGGAAAATTTTGTAGAATAAAGTTTGTATGGGTCGGTCACAGGATATCATGTCTAAACAAGGCGCCATCAGCCGGATTAACCTGGTGCTTTTGCTAAACTTACTTGGTGCACGTCTAGCGCAAAACGACAGGTGAATCCCTGCTGGCCAGTCCGGGGACCAACAGGGTTGGCGCCAGTGGAGTAGACGACATATCGTAGCCTTGGGGGTTTTCAACTTTTTTCAGGCGGGAGCACGTGGGCTCCAGCCGGGAAGCTTAAAGGTAGCACCACAGTCAGTCTGGCTGCAGCCCGCCTCCGTTCTAGGATGCCATTACGGACCTCCTCCTGAAGACTTTTGCCAATAATTGCTTGAATCAAATATGTGCGAGCAACCTGGTCAAAGAAAAACGCAGAACTTTGTCTTTCAACATTGCTAGGGCAGCGTATCCGTCCCAGAAATCTGCGAACGCTTTGGGGTGACAAGAAAATAAGTGTTCTATTTATTGGCAGAGAATTTAAGCTCACTGACCAGGGCTCGAAATGAGCGAGTTAGTTGAAAAAACGAGCACAAAACCAGAGCGTTATTATAAGCTGTTATTCAAAATATTCAGTCTAGCGACCTTGACGATAATATTTAATAAATAATAGGTGTGAAATACTACACCTGAGAACCTGGTCTAAGGCACTCATCTGAAGTGCCGGATTAACAAGAGCAGCTTCTGCTTACTCCCAGACGCTTTGACTTCTTCCAGTTGTTGAGCATTTTTGATGACATTAAGTGTTTTTACACAAACACCAGTCATGTACACGCCATTGTGCTTCAAACTAGGAGGTGCAAAGTTCCTTGGGTTATTACCTGATAGAGAATCTTCGGTGATCCATTGGCTTCTGCGCATGCGCTCAAGTGAGATTTATGGGGTCAACCATGAATTTCTTATTTCTCTGTCTCTCTCTAATGCAGCTCTGTTAATTTTCCAGAAATCGTTGCTCGCAAAGCTTTCTAAGTGTTTATTGAGAAGCTTGCTTCCGGGGTGTCTAAAGATTCGCGCCAAACAAGGATGTGATCTGAATTGTCTTGTGTATTTCAAAATAATTTGCAATCCAAGACTGATTGACATTGAAATGCCCAGTGGCCCCAGGATACCGTATAGCACAGCAACAACCAATGCCTCTAATTTCGAGACCACCAAAAATCAACTGGTGGGAATTAAATTGTGTTTTGCGTTCAGTCTATACAACCAACGAAGGCGTGCTTCTAATTTTCAGAATTGTTTTAGCTGTGCACTAAAATATCTTGCCATTACGAGCCTAATCAAAATCTTTGTGGTACCTTGCTCGGTTAATTCTCAACAAATCTATTCCGACAAATCAGCGTTGAATATGATAAAATAAAACATCAAACATTTTGACTACTGCAACTTTTTATCAAAGTGGAATTTTGGGTAGCACAGAGTTGGTCTTTTACACGCATTCACTTGAACAATAAACCCACAACTCGAAGCCCTCTAAAGCATCTGTGGGATCATAAGACATGGTCTATGGTGCAGAGATAAACCATACCGTTTTTTTAGCAATTACGCTTCGGTGACGCATAACAGTTTCGGAGGTGCTAATCGAAATAGTATCATAAGTGTACGCATGATCAGCTTTCTGGCCAATCCGCATACGAGTTTTTGCCATGAAAGCTATAATAGAATAGGAGAACGATTCCTGAATAGCGGCTGCAAAGTGTTTTAAGTAAACAGTAGTGTTCAATATGTCGGTTGTTTAAGTAGTTAACTGATATCTTATATGGAGTATCTACAAAAGAGTGATTGTCGTGTGAGATAAGAAGAGGGTTATGGCAACGGTAAAGGATGATAAGCGAGGCCAACAGTAATCTTTTGGTTGACATCAGCCTAACTGATGTTACTACGACGTTACCGGTGTGTTCAAAAACTACCAAGTCAGTATCAATGCAGGAGAACGATTGAGCTCCTCAAAAATAATTCTCTAAATAAGAAACTGACCGCAGAGCAGTTTCACATTTCAATAAAAAATTGCCAAACTTGTTTCTAAGCTGAAGGGCCAGAAGACCACATTTGCTTAAACATTGTATAATTACTGATCCGGTAAGAGTGACCACAGTTATGCTGAATGAGTATGCTTTATTATAACCCGGTAGGTCACTGAGGTGCGCAAAGGATAATGTAATAGAATACAGTCTATATGCGACGATATTATTATATTACTCTTAACGTACTGTTGAACACTTATCAAAATTACACACCTCGGTTTGCCTGCACGGTTGGTGGAGTTTATTTTGCAAAGAAGGATCGCTATGAGCAAAGGCTACGTGAGTATTTTGGGAACCCTGTATTTAAAAATATAGCAAGTAGTTTCATCGCCAAACTTTTTCAGAGAAATTTCGTATAACAACTGTAGGACATGAAAGATTCAGCGCCATTTAGCATTGACTCAGTAGCTCAGAATCAGCGTCTGTGATTCTTTTGCTATTCCAAAATTAGCTCACACCATGAAAAATTGATACGGGCACCTTCATCATGCTGACACTGTGTAAGATGACACTAGTGTGAATGGTTCCTCATCTTCCAATCCCAAGCCAACATGTGTTTGTGCCGGCGAATTTCGTTGTTAATTTTTCATTACTGGTCTTCAGGTCATATGGTGACTACTTAAGAGTTTGCGCTAGCCGGAAGGTTTTCCGACAAATAGTAAGATGAAATAACTGATCATCTGGCATACGAAGCACAGTGCTTTACTAGAGCATTTGGCAGGGTAAATTTAGCCCGAGAATTGGACCAGTAGTTGTCTTGTTAAAAACGTCCATCACAATTTGGAAGCGCCAAAGCAATGTTTTTATGGAAAGCGTTCATCAATGATTAGGTAAAGGTAGCCGTTTGCTCCCAGATCGCGGTGGCTTGACTTTACAACCATCGTAAGCGGTGAACAAAAAATGAATTTATGGAACCTACTCCTCACAAACAGGTCAATATCTTGGTGCCTCCTTCTAAGAGCCATAAAGTGGAATTTGAGAACGCCACATAATTGCTGCGAAATGGCGCTGTTTAACAAGATGTAACCCATCAAAACTGGATAGGTGCTTATTTCGGTTGTTCGTATGTGGTTGCAATTTTAGGTGTTGTAAATGAAAAGCCACAACTTTAGAAGGGCACTGCAAATGACAAAATAAAATTCAGTAATAAAATTGTTTGGTGGATTTTTTTTAATATCAGTGAAAGACAATGTTGCACTGTCTGAAAACTCAGGGTTTTGTCTTTTATGCGAAGAAGTTCTGTTTAGTTAGAAGTAGATGCAGTAAAGATCTATCAGAAAGGTTGATTTATGAGCGCTTTCTTAAAGCCGCTTGTCAAGGACAAGCTCATTTTAAAGCCAAGCCACCGTTTTCAATATTCCACATAAAAAAGCCAGCATTCTTTTCATTGCTCCGCCTCTTGCTGTGTTTGTAAACACGCGAATACCTCTGCTTTTAATACTCGAACTTGATTACAGAATGTGAGAGCTCCATGTTTTGCAAAAATGGGGCTGATATCAATTGTGGCGAAGACGAGTTGCTCCCTGGTCTAGTGAGTATAGTGCAAACTAGTCCTGAATGTGGCATATATAGGTTGCTTGTACGTGCATTTGCATGATACTACTGCAAAACACGGGCCTTCTACATATAAAAATCGAACGCTTTTGCGTTTAACGTAAAAACACATCCTAACTTTGTGAACCTGAATATCTTTTAGATGAATTTTGTCAAATACTTCCCACCCTTAATTCCTAATCATACCACTAATAACAACCATCACCATTTAATACGACCGCAGAAACTGAGGCAGACGTGGGTAAAATTCGATTTGTGTTGCTTTGATGAGGTCACCACATGACATCAGAGATTGCGAAGTTATTACTATTTTTAAATTACGGCCTTGTAAGTTTTTACCAGAAGAATATATTTGCGCTGCTGTGTTTTTTTTTCGAAAATGTCTCCAATCAAATGATGTATCTTTGATGTTTATATACCAGAAGTGATTGTCAAGAGACGTAGTTTAGTTATAATTTGATGACCATATTTGAATGGAATATTTCCCGAAAGGTTTCCATTTAGTTGTTCCTTCCTATTGTAGTAGTGGTATTGCGCTGACCTATTTTGCGTTGAGCTGGGGATTCATAGCAGTGGTTGTCACCTACGGCGCCATACAGGGCTTTGGCTTCGGCTTTGGATATTCAGTGATTATATCAACTACGGCCATGGTAAGTACACGTATTTATGGATACATATATGCGTAGGCTTGTGCCTTAATTAGGGCTATCCTTGTAGGCCGTAATCTGGAATTGATCTTCATACGGCAGGAAGTGGTTATTCACCGTACATTTTGGCCCGGTTTTGTGTCTGCTAGTGTTTCGTCTATCAGTTTCTTACAAATAAGTAAACTCATTCGGCAAACGCAATTCTAACGCATTATCCTTTTGATTCCTGGACCTACAAATGTGTTTCGCCCGGCCGCAAAGTTTAGTTTTGCCAAAAGTTCTACTTCAAAAACTTTTGATTCATAGTTTCTTAGATATCATACTACTGTCCGCGGAATACCCACCAGCATAGACAAGTGAGAACAACAAGGTTTGCGTCCTATTCAGCTAGGATCCAAAAAAGTCGAAAATCTAGAAGCTAAACGAACGTTTCATCATCAAAACTGTATTCACCTCCATTGAAACAAAATACAAATAGCTTCTGATACGACCATTTCTATTTATGAAGGTTGACTTTTTTGCTTTTCCTCATTTTAGCTGTCATGACAAGGCAGTGCTTCTACCATATCTGCCTAAGTGAGCCACACACTGGTTACTGTAAATTTACAGAAGGCTATGAATACGCTCTATGCATACTGTTTTGTGAAACAATCAGCTCCTGCTGTTAGGGAAACGATATTTGCAAACGCTTATTTTCCATTTGACTCAAACTGATTTTTAAGAAGCTTTTCGGTCATGACTCAGGTCAGCTTCTGCACCTTATAGGATAATGGGAGATAGCTGATTTTACTATGGTAAACAGCTAATATCGAAAGAGGTAGTGCAGAGTGGTAATAACAAGCAATCGTCGCCCTTTAGAATGACGCATGTATGGCCATGAAGCTGTGTCTGTTTATTGATAAACCAGGAGATACAAAATCGCTGGACTGCATAGACGTCGCTATAGAGGGGGTAGGCAGCATAGGTAGTTAGGTAGCTTAGGCAGCATAGATGGTCGTTGGTTTTTCTCCCATCGTAAAAAGTTGACTGACAATGTTTCGTCACCAATCGGGGTTACATCATCAGTGTGTTGTTAGGAGGCTTACTGGTGCGTAGGAATGAGTCGGTGGTTGTGCATTTGCTTCAGCTACTTACACTAATGGCACATGTTTTACGGTCTGCCAACGTGAGACTTGTATGTGGACGTGGTTGATTTAAGACCTCACAACCGGCATGCCACGTGTTTATGGGTTAAACTGGGTCAACCCTACAGTATCGTAACTATAATTCTCCATTCAGGAAACCTAGAAGCTAGGCAAAAAAAGAGTATTACATCCACTTGGTAAATTTATTTGCTACTTAACTAACCGATAAACCCGTACTATGCACCTGGCAGGTTTGCATTTCCGGTGTTATTCAACTAAACCCCGGGAAAGTTGTTAATTCAGCCGCGGACTTTGTAGTAACACGACTTGAAAATTTTTTGCACTATTACCCCAGATAGGCGTTCATGTCTTATATTCACCCAAGAATTAGTTGTAAATTGCCTGTGGTGTCTGAGGTCTTACTGTGTTCCAGTCAAGCCAGTGTAACCCCTTTCCCAGTGATGAGGCATGACAAAGACCGTGCCGTGGTGTTGGTCATAAAAACCTTCGTCTCACCCAAGCGACGGATTTGCATAGCTTGGAAATATGCGATCCAACCACTTGGCATCACTCCCTTTGGCAAGAAACAAACATAGTTGCACGGTCACCGATGTGCAAACCCGAAGTATAATGATCACTTGTCTTCACCACTCAGCACTAGCTATTTTGACATTGGTCCCTTGAAGAAACCAACTACAGCTTATTAGCCTTAACAGCGTGAAAGCCTAGTCGCTTCAACCAAATAACTGCTTTGTTTGCAGTAGAAGAATGATCCGTGGGGCCAAGAAGATGTAGACCACCATACGGACATAGACTTTGCATCAGGTTATGAACAACTATTTTGGTTTTAGTTACTCTAAAATCTTGTTGATGGGAAAAAACACCGTACATGTTTGTGTAACGCATTTTGAGGCCCACCGATCCTAGGTGTTCGGATGTCGAAGGTTGACAGTTAATTCGTAAGCAACTGGCGCAAGCCGTTTCATAAGAATGAACAGGAGTTCGGCGGTCCGACTACCTCTTGCAGGCTTATCCTTACAGCATGGCAACTATCCATACCCCTCACGGTCACATACATTTTGAAGAGGTAACACGTGTGGCTATTCACGGTTTTTGACCCTGAGGTACGAAATTTCGGTCGGACACATTTCTATGTCTGCTGAATTCATCGCCCATATGCGTGCTCCATAGTCGGTTGCAATCCTAATTGCTATTGCGTCCTTCGCTCTTGCAATCTGATTCTCAGCATACTGTTAGCGTGTGCTTCGTTTATCAGTAACATATGCTTCGATATGCCAAGTCACCTCTGCTACGGTCCCATGGTCTCCAGTCGTGCACCTTGTTCCCTCTCATCTCAAACCTAGCTGCGAACATCACAGGACTACTTCCTTTTCTACTACTATTATTTACTTTTGAAGCAAACGTTGACAAGGAAGCGTGGCAGGTGGGATAGCGCACAAGAGAACATAAAAAGAAGGAAATGTACCAGACCATAGAATGCCATTACTAGATTTGCGGGTTACAGGAAGGCGTCTTGGTGTTAGTACAGGAAGTTTTGAAGCAGAAGCACAAGAGAAAGACCTAGAAATGGGGAACAGACAAGCATTCGAAATGCGCTTCATGGTGCAGAGCGCGCTGACATAATCAAAAATCGGACTTCAGGCGTGCGGACAGGTGTAAAAGACGTTGGCATGAATGAACAATCAATGCAATATCTATCGTAAATCAGTACTATAAAGACGCAGAGAGTCCAAAACGGCGAGCAAGTATGAACTAAAAGCTATCACCTAGTCAAGCAGCAGCTCTGACACGTTGAGGACAACATATGACCACACATGAAATAGCCATCAGAATCACAGTCGATATCACGTAGGACTGAAGAATGGACAGAACGTTTATCAGCTCAACGTTTCTACCTACTATTCCACAAAAACATCCTGAGTTCAACCGAAAGTATGTTCATGCTCGTCACGGTTGCTCAATGTCTGTGAATAACGATCTGTTCAGGCATTATGACAGAGGCCAAAGTAGGTGCTTTCAACTTTTCGAAGAAGAATGAGATTTTATACGGGTTAGCTTGCAAGCCAATCATGATCAGCCTAACCAGTATCCACGATCCAGCAAAACTGTGGGATATTTACTAATTTCTTCAGTATATAACAAATTTTACGGCATATACTCGTCTGATGCATATGAACACATCAGAGGCTTCCAATTTTCATCCTCAACTGGTCGCGGAGAATAAATACTATAGATAAATACAGGATAAATCACTCGTTTTGCTAACATGAACCCCGCTTCAAGCTAAGCGACCATCAATGCTCTGTGTGTTGATCCAGGGAGCTGCGGTGTTTATCTTGGCATTCAGACGCAATTTAACCAGGATCGGGAGGCTGAGAACCTAAACATTCACACCAGTTTACGAAAACTGACTTCAGTGCAAATGCTTATCCATACGCGGTCTCCACTGTATCGGGATGGTTGTCCTCATATACTGAACATCCAATATTATATGCCTCAATATGGCGTCCATTTAGCTAATTATACTGTCTTTTAGACGTATTAACCCACAAACAAGCTGGTTTCTAAGGTTGCGCAGCACTTTTGGCGTAACGCACTGGAATTATCCGGGTAGGGGGACATGTTTTAGCCTCGTTACTACATAGCCCATGATGAACTTTATCCGTTTATACAAATTTAAGGAGACAGGCGTAAACTTTAATAGCGTTTTTGCGGGTGCTTTTATCGCTTGCAAACTTTTCCCCGTACAGTCTCAGCTGTACTAACCGCCTACTCGTCGTACAGTGGTTGTAGCTGACGCAGTTTCGTCCACCGATGATTTGGGAGGGAGGGGTAGGTAGCTGCGCATTGCAGGCGGGAGCTGATAAATTGGTGCGTACATACAGCACTGTCAGTTGACTGAAAGTGCGGGTGGGGGTGGAAAAGGAGCAATGCATTGAAGGCAATAGCTTCGATGCACGAGCGCCATTGAGGAAGCGACTCGGCCATGTCTGATAATGTCTCTAGCCATTGATGTGGCCCATCTCGGGGCCCCATCCAGGAAGACGGCAGTGACCACCGCAGCTGAGTTTGCTGGTAATGGCTTTCACACTTTGCTGCCAAGTCATTGTTTGACCGCCTCTGGCTCTCTTCCACCCTTCACGTGGTTGTGCGAAAAGAGCTTTTCGAGGAAGTCGGTCGACTGGCATGCGCAGCACGTGGCCAAGCCAGCGCAACCTATGCAGTGTGATCAGTTCATCTATCGAGGATGAGTTATTTCTCCCGAATACCATTCGACCTACTTCAGATTTGCTGATCCGGTGTTCCCACTAGATTCATGCAATGCTCCGAAGACATCGATGGTCAAATACTGACGCCCTCGGCGTGCAGCGGCCATGTTTCTGATCCATATAGTAATATGGAGCGCACCGCAGCATTGTAAACTCGACCCTTGACAGAGATCGCCAGACCACCGGGACTGATACAGCTGCCCAGGTAAACAAATTCGTCTACTAACTCAATCGGTTCATCCGCAAGCATGAGGCTAGGGTTCGAGCCCACCCAGTCTTGCAATGGCACTTTACACTTTGCAGGTGTGAAGCGCATGTGAGGCAGAATTATTTAGGTCATTTCATATTGTTTGCATTACCACGGGGTCAGATCTCAGAAGACCTATGTCGTCTGCGTACTCGATGTCTGTGAGTGGAGGCCCAGGGAGCACTTCGACCCCACAGGCATTAGAGGCCGGTAGTGAGTCTTACATGATCGTATCAATGACGAAGTTGAAGAGGAAAGTTGAAATAGGACAGCCTTTTCGGACGCCAATGGATGTGATGAACTCAGAAGAGAACTTCCCGTAGACCTTTACACGGCCGCAGG